GATGAAATTGGGGGAATGCCTACTACTGCTAAGTTGAACAAAGTTTCTGTACAACTTGAACGTGAAGTAGGAATAAATGCAGATGCAGTTGCAGAAGGCATGCATACTTGTGAGACCGTCAGCGTGAGTGATCAGCATGTAGCCCACCTATCATCAGATGCTAGTGCTAAACCTGAGCTGATAGTAAAAGACACCAGTGGTGGTGGTCTTGCAGGTAGACAACTTTCTGAAAGCCGAACAGCATCAGCTTCTGATCCACCGCTAACTTCATCAACTGATATCAATCAGTCGTCGTTTGTGTTGTCATCCACAATGTGAAAGATACCCATCAACTCAAGTATCTTGTGCAATGACTATGATAGTATTGGTGCATTTGAAAGGACGAAAGATATTGCTCAGTTTAGAGAGGATAAGCCAAGTGTAAACGAGAGAGTAATTGTCAAATTGACTTGCACGAATAAAGGCATTTCTAGTTTCAAGTTACTATTTGAATGGTATTATCTTCGCTGTAAATTACTCTGTTTCTACACTTGGTTGATGAGATACGTCGTGTGTTTGTTCGTCATCTGTATTCTACGATACAATGACATGAGCGTGTTACCGTTCAGATTTGAGGATATAGCTGATAGAGGGAAGTCAGCAAATGAACTCTGCAACGATTTTCCAACCTAGTGCGTCAACCTGAGAAGGGTTGTAGGCGTACTGCTGTAAGTCCTACAGTTCTTCAAAGGGTAGCGCATCAATGAGCAGTCCAATGTGCTCGGTGTGTGATTTTGTACATATGTTCATATTGTATATACTGAATTGGTATCATTTATCATCTAGCTGTTGGTGATTCTGTTTGTCTCCGGACATTCCATAAATTACAATCGTCAACCTGAGAAGGGTTGTAGGCGTACTGCTGTAAGTCCTGCAATTCTTCAAAGGAATTCCAACAAGACATGATCGGCGAGGTTGTTTGTACTGTTTGTATATACGTGTGGTGTGTCATATCAACTGGTGTTTTTGGATTCATTGTGCTTACTTGTTGTTTTCGTATCTTGTTGTTATTGCGTAATTTTGTTAAAATTTTCGTCGTGCTTACTTCTGAAGTTGTGTCCACTCTTCTACATCCATGAATGAATTGATTGATGTTAAGGACAGCAGATGGGTCGTATACACCGGGGAGGCTAGGCTATTGCTGAGAATGAAATGCACACGGAGATAATTGTTAGATGTGGTCCCACACGCCGGGGAGAAAGAGTGTAAACGACTGAGGCTTGCATGCGTCGCCGTTACTAGAACTGAGGCAGAATGAGTGACAAGCGATTGCAGTGGTAATTGGTAGTGAGTAGATAAGAGGATGAGCGTAGAGTATCGTGAGGTTCTTCTATGGCCACGTTGCGTTCTGCAAGAGTCATTCTAGCAAGTGGCGATTGTGTTGCAAGATGTCAAGAGGATGCCTTTAACTGGAAGGCGCAGGTCGTCATCGCTGTGTGAGATTGTGCTGTGAGTATGCTTGTGGTGTGTTGGCTTTTCTGTTTGTTTTCCATTTCAGCTCTGTCCATGTGACCCAGGTTCTCGCAATGGCATCCAAGTCAACGTGTATTGGTCGTGATGGAAAAAAGGGATGGAGCCCATTTTTGCCGGGGAGTGTCAATGCAGTTGAAGATTGAAGGATCAATTCACGGTTGTTTACTCAAAACCAACTTCCCTATATTTTCGCGGAGACATGGATACACCAGTCATCGTCTCATCGGTCGCTGTTCAGAGAGAAGTGTGTAGCAAACCATCAGAAGTAATCTTATGATTTATTATTGTAATATTTGTTCACAGACCTTAGTTCAATTATTATTTTTATATGTTGGTGTTACAATAAAGAATCCTCGAGTCACCAATCGGTCTTTTGGTTTTTACGTCCGTTATTACTAAGCGTTTCTGAAAACTTCAAGGAACAGTGTGAGCCCGAGCGTAGCAAGAGCTGGGCATTAACGGTTTATGAGACGTGATTGACAGGTGTTAATAATTCAAAATTAATTACAGGCATGGTGTCATCTATTTTTGCTGTTTTTTTTCAAGAGATATGAGTTTCTCGATATTTTAAAGACTTTTCTGGGAGCAATTAATTTAAAGTGAAAGACAGGTGATAATTTAACCTACTTATGTAGGTTGAAAAGGAGTTAAACACAAAAGTCAGAGTGCGTGAGCTATGTAAAATAAAAGTGAGGGTCTAATTATATCTGTTTTTCCGAAGTATACAGTTAGGTGTCCTTCTGAAGTAGCGGACTCATACCATTTACTTTCATTCGGGAATTTGTATCTAAACTTTGGCTTTAGGTAATTTTCAACTTCTATTTTTTTCATTATTATTTTTTATTAATTCTCATTTTGCAGAAGCCATTCGAACTCAGGGGCCTTAGCAATAGAGTGCTGTCCCACAGATAAGGGTGGTTCTCATATGTCCCCACCATCATATCCGCTGACTAGCAATCACCACCCTCCCTGGCGGAATGCTTCAATTTTTTATTTATTCTTTATTTTATTATTTTTTAAAATTTCTGTTGCAATATGCCACAAACTTTTTTTCCAAATATTCGTCGACTCACTCAAAGTCATGGTATGAATGACTACTTTCAGAAGAACATCATGTATGTTTCGTCTGTTACAGCATTTTGGAGAGGAAAAATGTAAGAAAAATAGACTATCGGAGTCTACATTTTAGATATAAACAAATGTAGTTTAGAAAATCAGGGAGTAATCGTGCAGCATTGAGCAAATAAGTAGTAGAAAGTTATAATATGTTGTTCGTTTATTTGATTATTTAGACAAGCACCATTTGGGCCTTAATTTGCGTAGAGCTAGACGGTGCTTGCATATAGCATTAGGCAGGCTCCAGAGATATTTTAATACCAGTCGTCTTTAGTTGATTTGCGTCTGGAACTTGAGATTGAACCTTAGCATACTGAAATACTCATAATACAATATTATCAGGGATATATGCAAAAATATTTGAAAAATTTTTTAAATTTAAGGCTGATTAGAAATAGGTGGCTACGGTTGTGGAAACAATCATAGTGAAAGTAGTGTCAAACATAGAGTTCACAGATTTCGGGAGCTAACAGTGGGGGTCAGAGGAGTGCCGTATTAGATCTCTAATTTTTAGTTTGTCACATACCCCTTCTAACCCGTTGTTAATGAAATATTTGTTCAGCAAAGATGAGAAAGTTTTTGGGGTAGGACTGTCTCTAATTTCAGTTGGAAGACGGTTCCAAATGCAACGGTATCTCACAGTGAAAGAGTTTGATCTGTATTTTGTATGACAGCGGGGAACTTTAAAAGAAGAAGATTTATTTCTCAGGTTATATTTCTTAGGTGAACTGAAAGTAAAGTCATTGTGGGGGAAATATATAAGCCCTTTAGCAATCCTAAATGTAATTTTTAGGTTGAACTTCAGTCGTCTAACCCATAAGGGTTCCAAGTCGAATAGATTACATCTGTCGTAGTAAGAAATGCAAAGATTTTCACCTACTAGACGTTTAGTAAACGCCCTTTGTAGACTTTCTAATTTGCATCTGTCTTTTACGGAGACACTGTCCATGATAGGGGGACAAAATTCAAGTAAGGGCCTTACGCACAACTTGTACAGCATAATTTTGGATTCACTGGTCTTAAAGTTTCGGAATAAAAATCCAAAGAGCCTTTTGACCTTTGATACTTGTAGTTTAACGTATTCCATCAGGCTAAATTCTGGAGTGTATTTCAGACCCAAGTCTGTTGTAAGCGGCAGACGAGGAATATGTTTGTTGTGTAGGGAGATGGAAAGTTCAGATGAAATGCTTTTGGAGCATAGCACACCACATTTTTCAACGTTAAACTTCATTTTCCATGTGTTACACCATAATTGGACGCTCTCAATATCATCTTGAATCCTACTAAATACACATGACACTTCATTTCTGAGTGAGTGATACACTATTTTGATGTCATCGGCGAATAGGAAAGGTCTGCCATGTTTAATAACGTCGCAAATGTCATTGAAATATAACAGGAATAGCAGTGGACCTAGGACACTACCTTGTATAACTCCACTTGTTATCCGAACGGGGTTGGATGTGTGGGAACCTAACCTGACCATTTGCATCCGGTTGCTTAGAAACGAACTGAGCCAGCTTAACAATGAACCTTGTATCCCATAGGACTGGACTTTTGATATTAACAGTCGGTGGCTTACAGTGTCAAAGGCTTTACTAAGATCTAAGTATACGATAACTGTGATCATACTGGAATCTTTAAGTTGTGAGATGTGGTCGAAAAATTGTAAGTGGCATGTCGTACAAGAACGTGACTTCATGAAACCGTGTTGATAAGGAGTGATAAGTTTCTCTTGAGAGAGGAAGTCAAAAATGGCACTTTTCACGATCTTTTCCAGAACCCTTGAAATAACAGAAGTTAGGTTAATGGGTCTGTAACTCATGACACTTGAACGGGAGCCTGACTTATACCTAGGGGTAATGTGCGTGGTTTTCCATGCATCTGGATATGTTCCAGTTGATAGAGAGGTAGAGAACAATTTAAGAAGGAGAATAGGAATGTCTTCACCACCGTATTTTAAAAAAGTTGAGGGAATCATATCAGGACCTGGGTTGTTTGAACTTTTAAGAGAAGTGATTGCTTTCTTAATATTATCTAAAGAAAAGCTGATAATTTCTAAGGTTTTTTGTGAACGTACAGGAAATAGAGGTTGTGGCAACGTATTATCATCATAGGTATATGACTGTGAGAAATAGGAGTTTAGAAGCTCACAAATTATTTTAGAGTCACTAGCGGTTTCGCCATTTTCTAAAATGAATTGTATATCCGTTTTACGGGAGTTTAGCCTTTTGCGATAAAGCCTACAGATTGCAGTGTATTTAGAGCTATCTTTAAGAGCTGCATGTTCTTGTCTGAGTAGGGCTTTGTCGTTATTTTCTTTCAAAGCTAGATAAATGTTCTGTATATTTAGAAGACATGAGAAGTCGTTTTCTCTGTGGTACTGTCGGTACAGCTTTCGCAGCTTAGCCTTTACTTTTATAGGAATGAAATTCTTTATGTTTTCTCTTGGGTTTTCTTTACATTTAGGAACAAGATTATCAAAGCAAATAGATACATTCTGGTAAAAGGCTAGTAGGATAGTGTCTAGGTTGCTATTAGAAAAGAAAAGATCCCAGTCTAAGCTTCTAATGAAGGAGTTAGATACGTCCCACCTAGCTTTTCCGAAGCACATGAATGTCTTGCGCAGGGTAGAGCGTTTTGATGAGTGGAGCTTGGTATCAAGGGCGCAGATTACTGTGTTGTGGTCACTACCAGGGAATGGTCGGCTGATGTCTATGGTAGATAAGGCGATGTCTTTCAAGAAAACCAAGTCCAGTATATTTTGGTTTCGGGTGGGCCTTAGAATACTTTGTGTCCACCCACATAATCAACTGCATCTAAGAATTTGCTGTAGCGGGGAGGAGCACTGATGGGCTCCCATGAAACCTAATAGTAGGGTTTGCTGTTTATTTATGTAGAGTGTCACCCATAATGTATCGCATATATCCAGGTTGGGGTCACCATAGTGCACAGCTCTGCAGTCAGATTTAACATAGATAATGCATCCTCCACCCCGCCCGACTGATCTGTTCTTCCTGAAAAATGAGTAGCCTTCGCAGTGAAAGAAATCATCATTTATTTCACTTGTGCACCAAGCTTCAGTGATCATTAGTGCTGTAGGTTGTCTAATCAGTAGTAGGAATTGGATGTATGCCATTTTTTTTACAGCTGACCTGGCATTAATAAGGACTATGTTAGGATTAGACGAGTCATATCTTAAGATTTTAGCCATGTCTTGAAGTAGCTTGTGATGAGATTCAATCATAGTGTCCTCAGACGACAATGAAATATCTATGTCTGTAGATGCCCTAGGAAAGCTAGAAGTGCAAAAAGAGTCAGTTATATTTCCGTGTTCAAGTAAGTTCGGACGTAAAGAAGATTGGCTATCAGAAGAAAAGGATATAGAGGGTTTTTGACGAAGAAGAGAATTGTCTGAGTCATGTGAGGTGAGCTCTAGGCAGTAATTAGGTATTGCTGTATGAGCTTTCATATCTATATTGGAGGACGAAACCTGTGGAGAATGGTGAGCATTTGTAGTATGTTTGAGGTCATGTTGTGAACCTGAATAAAAAATGGTAATGTCGTTTCAGCAAAAGTGCTGATCGCTGGATGGTCAGTCCCGCTGAGTATGGGCATGTAAATAGGTGGAGGTGGCCTACCAAGCAAGCTAAACTGACTCGGATTGTTGAGATTTACGTCACTACTATTCGATATCCTATAGTTAAGTGTATCACTCTTTTGCTTTATAGTGGTGCGAAGGTTTAGATTTTGGAAAGGTGGCTACGAGGTTCGGGTTGTGTTTTACGTTTTTTATCCCTATCAGCATTGTATTTGATTCTCGACAGAGGTGTGTCAGCCACGTCTTATAAACCGTCAATGCCCAGCTCTTGCTGCGCTGGGACTCACGCTGTTCCTTGAAGTTCTTCAGAAACGCTTAGTAATAACGGACGCAAAAACCAAAACACCAATTGGTTACTCGAGGATTCTTTACTGTTACAACGACACATAAACAATGTCACAACTAAAGGTCTGTGAACAAATATTACAATAATAAATCGCAATATTATTTCTGACAGTTTTGGCCTGACTTCTCTCTGAACAGCGACCGATGAGACGATGACTGGTGTATCCATGTCTCCGCGAAAATATAGGGAAGTTGGTTTTGAGTAAACAACCGTGAATTGATCCTTCAATCTTCAACTGCATTGACACTCCCCGGCAAAAATGGGCTCCATCCCTTTTTTCCATCACGACCAATACACGTTGACTTGGATGCCATTGCGAGAACCTGGGTCACACGGACAGAGCTGAAATGGAAAACAAACAGAAAAGCCAACACACCACAAGCACACCCACAGCACAATCTCACACATCGATGACGACCTGCGCCTTCCAGTTAAAGGCATCCTCTTGACACCTCCTCTTGCAACACAATCGCCACTTGCTAGAATGACTCTTGCAGAATGCAACGTGACCATGGCAGCACCTCACGATACTCTACGCTCATCCTCTTATCTACTCACTACCAATTACCACTGCAATCGCTTGTCACTCACTCTGCCTCAGTTCTAGTAGCGGTGACGTATGCGAGCCTCAGTCGTTTACACTCTTTCTCCCCGGCGTGTGGGACCACATCTAACAATTATCTCCGTGTGCATTTCATTCTCAGCAATAGCCTAGCCTCCCCGGTGTATACGACCCATCTGCTGTCCTTAACATCAATCAATTCATTCATGGATGTAGAAGAGTGGACACAACTTCAGAAGTAAGCACGACGAAAATTTTAACAAAATTACGCAATAACAACAAGATACGAAAACAACAAGTAAGCACAATGAATCCAAAAACACCAGTTGATATGACACACCACACGTATATACAAACAGTACAAACAACCTCGCCGATCATGTCTTGTTGGAATTCCTTTGAAGAATTGCAGGACTTACAGCAGTACGCCTACAACCCTTCTCAGGTTGACGATTGTAATTTATGGAATGTCCGGAGACAAACAGAATCACCAACAGCTAGATGATAAATGATACCAATTCAGTATATACAATATGAACATATGTACAAAATCACACACCGAGCACATTGGACTGCTCATTGATGCGCTACCCTTTGAAGAACTGTAGGACTTACAGCAGTACGCCTACAACCCTTCTCAGGTTGACGCACTAGGTTGGAAAATCGTTGCAGAGTTCATTTGCTGACTTCCCTCTATCAGCTATATCCTCAAATCTGAACGGTAACACGCTCATGTCATTGTATCGTAGAATATAGACGACCAACAAACACACGACGTATCTCATCAACCAAGTGTAGAAACAGAGTAATTTACAGCAAAGATAATACCATTCAAATAGTAACTTGAATCTGGAAATGCCTTTATTCATGCAAGTCAATTTGACAATTACTCTCTCGTTTACACTTGGCTTATCCTCTCTAAACTGAGCAATATCTTTCGTCCTTTCAAATGCACCAATACTATCATAGTCATTGCACAAGATACTTGAGTTGATGGGTATCTTTCACATTGTGGATGACAACACAAACGACGACTGATTGATATCAGTTGATGAAGTTAGCGGTGGATCAGAAGCTGATGCTGTTCGGCTTTCAGAAAGTTGTCTACCTGCAAGACCACCACCACTGGTGTCTTTTACTATCAGCTCAGGTTTAGCACTAGCATCTGATGATAGGTGGGCTACATGCTGATCACTCACGCTGACGGTCTCACAAGTATGCATGCCTTCTGCAACTGCATCTGCATTTATTCCTACTTCACGTTCAAGTTGTACAGAAACTTTGTTCAACTTAGCAGTAGTAGGCATTCCCCCAATTTCATCGTGACCAACCAAAGACAACAGTGAGGTATCATGATCATTATCATGAATATTCACTTTACCGTCAACTTCATCATTTTCAAACTCTTTAATAACAGAAGTAGACAATTTTGGTTCCTCCTCGCAAATCCTAAAAGTTTTATAACTTCACTCTGACTAGTAATACCTTGTAAACTTGTAGGGTCAGAACTGAACTCTGAAGCAATAACTCTATTCTCTGACACTCTATTCAACAATGGCTTACCAGTTGCAACTACAGACTTCTTGATCGCACCGTTATCGTCACACAATTCGGAGTCAGGCCTGGAGTTTACATTTAGCTTATCACTGAACTTGCTCACTGGTTCACAGTTCACATTTGTATGCACCTCTTGCAAACGTGTAAAACACAACCGTGTTGTCTTGCATCTTGTGTCTTATCTGTTGAGGATGTACCACGAAACCTGTTACACTCACTAGGTCTATATGCATTGCTAGACATCATGGAGCCTTCTCGATATCCACCTCTCTGAGACCCTCTCGTCATCAATGATTGCATTTTGCTCTCAGACTGCTCTATTCTAGGGGTGAGATCTAATAGACTGGTGAACTTGCTCATCGATTGATTGACACTATCTCTTACTAGTTTCAGGATATCATCAAACTTTGGCTCGATACCCTCATCCTCCATACGGGAGCTCATCTTCACCCACTTCCTTTGCAGTCGAGTAGGTAGACGTCTTGCTATTACTTCCAGTATAAAACTCGAGTTGAGGTCACTCATGCGATCCATCGAAATCATTCCATTCTTGTAAATCAGCAAATTATCCAAAAACAGTAAGTGCCTGGGAGTCATCCTGTAATTGACCACCATTACCCTTAACAGCCTCGAATAATTTCCCTGCAATCATCGAAGGTCTTCCAAACTTTTGACGTAGTATGCTCATAGCCTCGTAGTAGCCCTCTTTTGGCTTCATAAACTTACAGCACTGTATAGCTCTTGCAGCAACTCCATTGCAATACCTCATCAAATACATTAACTTCATTTCATCAGTTAATAAAAAACGACTTAACATGATTTCAAATTCCCTTACAAACTGTAAATAATCGGCTGGGTTTCCGTCGAAACACCGTGGTTCAAATTTAGGGAGTTTGATGTTCCTATTATCCCTGAACGGCGAAACAGTAACATCAACCATGTCGTGTTGAACATCAGACACATCGTTACAATTAACAGACAAGTCAACATGACTTACTTTCCTGTTTGCATCCAAGACACTCTGTCCCTTCTTTGACTCAGGCATTGTTGAACTTGACCCAATTCCAAAAACGTTCCAGATATTGCTTGTTCTAAGAGGACTTGACCGGCACCAGGAAAGATGAACGGTGACTATCCACACTGTCACCAGCTATCTGAATCCGTCAGAAAATGTTGCCGCCGTCAGAAACTGACTTCACTGTCAGAAACTGTCATTCACGCCTCTTAAACCGTCAATGCCCGGATTTTGTTACGCTGGGACCCACGCTGTTTCTTGAAGTTCTTCAGAAACGCTTAGTAATAATGGACGCAAAGCAGAACACCGATTGGCCGCTTGAGAATTCTTTATTGTAACACCAACATATAGCCAACTTTTAAATTAAGCTTTAACTAAGATCTATGAACAAATCTTACAATAATAAATCACAATATTATTTCTGACAATTTTGGCCTGACTTCTCTCTGAACAGCGACCCATGAGACGATGACTGGTGTATCCATGTCTCCGCGAAAATAATAATAATAGCTTTATTCCAAACAGTATTTGTGGTACAGGTATGGAATTTTCAGCGTGCATTACAGTATATTACAGTATATTGCATCTAATTACCTCATAAATTATATAAGATTTTTAAAAATCAAAGATAAATAAATAAAAATAAAATAAATAAGTTATAAATAAATAAAATAAATAAATATTAGAAATTAAGAAAAAAACAACGTAGAGTATTTCATTTTACGACTGGAATCTGTATTGGACCTAGGACTGAAATACTCACCTGACTTATCATTTTCTGAACATATCTCCAAACAAGTGTCAAAGTCACGCAGACTTATCGGCTTTCTACTCAGGAACTTTTACAGAAATGAGTCCAGAATTCTGTTGTACAAGGTTTGTGTGCGTCCTTTATTTGATTACTGTTCATTCATGTATAGTAGTATACGCATAGAGGACAAATTGAAAGTCGAGGGAGTGCAGAGGTACTTCACGTCAAAATTACTCGGAACCGAAAATGGTGCGAACTACTCCACTAGATGTGACATCCTAGGATTAGAAACACTATGGCTAAGACGCCTGAGACTAAACTTAACACTTTACTATAAGCTTCTAAACCACTTAGTTTTTACCTCTACTAATGGCATTCGACTTTCAGATGACAGTGTCTACAAACTAAGACACACTAAGGGTACAGTAGCTATTGAACAATGTAAAACAGCTACCAGGCAAAAGTTTTATTTGATTAGGTATGCACAGATATGGAATAAACTACCAATGGAAATGCGTCAAGCAGGTACATTGGCTTCCTTCAAAAAAGTGCTTAACGACAAACTACACGAGTTTGCAAACGACAGTAGTCTTAGTTCCTATCTGAGAGCCTCCGAAATTATAGGTCCTTTTAATGTATAAGTTCAAATACTACACCTGCTGTTTTTGCCTATATTTATAATTTTAGATAAAACATTAACGATTAAGATACATACCCTCAAACAGACAAGAAGTTTCGTTTGTAAAACTTCTACCCAACACAATAAGTGGAATAAAATGGACATAAACTGACAACATGAAAAAGGTTATAACTCACCACAACATCACATGGACAGATGTACGCTCGTCGGACATCATATATGCATCACCAACTACAACCCAACATTCCTGAGATAATGTGATGAACTTATATCCATAATGTTGCTGAGCAGTCAATATCCACAACTCCTGTCGGAACAACTAAAATTCAAAAACCTTCCTCACGAGAAGTAAATATCCACAAGCAGTAA